TTTTATTTTAAGATATTGATCTTAGTTTAATAAATTGCCAATTGTGAATTATACATAATGAGTTAAATATGTTCTGAGTCTTATGCATTTGTGGAATTCTCTCACAAGTGTACGGTGTTTGTTTTGCTTCCAGTTTTGAGGTGTGACTTAATTAATTTATATAATTACTTAATTTTATTCTAGATTTTCTAAATTTTTGAAGACCAAAACCAAAAACTCAAAACTACAACTATACTAATTAAACATAGCCTAAGCTAAACATTAACTTTGTTTGAAAATATTTTATATAAATCTTTTTCACACAACACATTATTTAAAAGTTTAAATTTATTATGTTGACTAATTTTAAGTAATATTTATACTCTCTTCATTCTAGAACAATAGAAGATTTTTGAGTTTTTCTTACAAGTAAAATTTAGAAACAATTTATGTTACCTTTAATAAAATAAAAAGATAAAGGATAAAGAGATATTTTATTATTATTTTTTAGTATTATTATTATTATTATTATTATAGGATGATAATTAAACTCAAAGGATAATCATAGGATTAAAGTAAGAAAAAAAATATTTTCCCCTTAAAAAAGTGATAATTAATTTAGGACAAATTTTAAATAAAAAAGTACTATTATTTTGAGGAAGAGAGAGTATATTGTTTTGGATAGTAAAGGACAAAAAACTACCTATAGTATCAATATAATACAATACATCAATGTAGGTTAATGAAGGTGTCCAAATTTAATCCAAATCAATTGATTTGACGTAAACCAAGTCAATTTAATTGGTTTAGTTTAGGATTTTATCCTCAAAGGCTAGAATTCTTATTAAAACATATTATTTTTCCTAGATTGGCTTGCTAGTTGTTGGCTTCAAAATTATATTTTCAGATTTCCAAATCATAGAGTTTATATATACGGCAAAGTGCGTGTCAGTCCTACCTCTAAAATAATTTCAGAGTCCCAAACCCAAAACGATATCGTTTCTTTTAATCCTACCCCTACTATTTTTTACCCCTTTTGGAATCACCTCCGTCTCATCTCCCTTGCCTCCTCGACTCCTCCGACCCATCTAGTCCTACCCCCATTATTTTTTGCCCCATTTGGAGTCATCTCCATCTCCAACTCCATTATCTCAAGTCCATTTTTTGTCACCATTTGGTACAAGTTTGTTTGACTGGTGAGAAAATGAGCACGAAAAGGAGAGAACCAGATTCCATTTCCACTTGGAGGTCGATAATTGGTTTCAAAATTTTTTATGGGATTTTTTTTATCAAATTCAAAAATAATGGAAAATAAATTTAAACACCCTTTGACTGGACTAGAGTAAAATCATATTTCCATGGAAAAAACAGAATTAAAATTTTTCTCTCGAGAAAAATGGAGAAAATTTTGCATCTAACTTATCTATGCTCCAGTTGTCAATGAGAAAATGAGCAAAAAAACAAAAAATGAAAAGAAAAACACAACAGCAATCCAAACAAACAGATTTCGAGATCTATAAAGATCTTATTTTCACTGCATAACAATAGCCAAATAGAGAAACAACAGGGAATATAAAAATTTTTCTTTGGAAAAATGAAAGAATACCATATCAACAATCTCGTTCTTGATCTGTTCAAGACTAATACCCTTGTTGCCCATCTTGGTTCACCGTTGATGAGCAAAAACCACCACATAACAAAATTGAAAAAAAGAGAGCCTGTAGAGACACAAGGAGTCGAGGAGGCGAGGGAGATGGAGATGGAGACAATTCCAAACAGGGTGAAAAATAATGGGGGTAGGACCAGAAGGGGCAGAATAAAAGCAAAGGGGCAGAATAAAAGCAGGCAAGGGAGATGGAGATAATTCTAGAAGGGTTGGAGGAGGCGAGGAGGCGACAAAGATGGAGATAAAGGTGATTCTAGAAGGGGCAAAAAACAGTAGGGGTAGGATTAAGAGAAACGACATCGTTTTGGGTTTGGGGCTCCAAATTTTTCTAAGAGGTAGGACTGACACATACTTTGTCGTTATATATATATATATATATATCAAATCATAGAGTTGGTTAATGACTAAGACTAAATCAAATTCTATATATTTTGATAGAATTTGTAAAAGCAAAAATATAAAATAAGGAACACTGACTTTTCTCCATTATGTAATTGAGGCATAATTTTTTATTGGTAGTAAATAAGGATGTTAATTATACGATGCCAACAAATAAAGATAAATTTCACATAATTGAACTTGTGCCATTAGCTTTCCCAAGATCACATTGACTCAACAAAAAAATGGAATCTAGAAGAAAGATGCAAAAGCTCACTCCTTTGTTAGCGAATTATGTATGTTGACTAAATTTTGTTAAAATATACGTTAAATATGTGTGTTTTCGCACACGCTAGGTTCTTGTTTTCATTGTGTCATATATTTTGAACCTACCTCCTTATTAATTTGTATTGTCTTCTTGAGACCCAATGACATACATTTAATTTTGTCAAATATGAATTTATTTGCTACCATAATGTAGATAGTGTCCTTATTTGCCTTTAATAAAAGTTGGTGACCATATTTGACACTTTCACTATTTAGAAATGAACTCATATTTTTTTTTATAAGAAATGGAGAAATTATATTAATTAAAAAAGAAGTACAGAAAAACTCCATTGCAGGGCATATAGCCTAAAGCATTATAGCATGAAAATAAAATCAGAAGCATAACATACAACACTAGTACCAAATTTAAACTATGCCTATGATAAATATAAACAATTAAGTAAAGAGAGTCATCTACAACTAGAGATTGCTATTGCAATCGCTGTATGGGTTAAATAGTGTTACTAAGGTAGAAAGGAAAGTTGCTTTGAGCATCAGAAGCTACTGGACGTCCTCACCTATTTAACTAGCTTCATGGGGAGAGCAAGGATTCCGATAACAAACAGTCTCCAACTTGCATGTTGCCTCCCAATCTATTTTTAAAAATTAACCAATAATAAAAGGGGCAAAGAACCCTCTGTACAAGCACAGGCTTCCCAATCGCCATTGAATACCCCCAATTAGATTTCCAACTTTGCTAAACCTCTGTAATCCCATACTGTCAATACCGATTAAGGGAACTAGAGCCCCTTTGCCGACTTGAAAACCATGCTTCCCGTGCTACCCATAATCGACGTCACCCACAACATCCTTTTCCCTTCGGAGTTAGCAGCCAAATCGGAAATTGGAATGAACTAACCTTGCCGAATTTGATCACCGCCAAAATCCCTTCTTGGGAGATGCCCTACACGATAAATAGGAGAAAAACCAGCCACAAGTAGGATCGATTCTCTCCCTATGCCAGTTGAAACCTTTGGAAAACACCCCCAAATCTAGATCTGAATAGGTTGTTGCCTTGTGGTCCCTTGGACTGAAGTTTCCAAAGCAAGGCGGGTGACGAAGGTGGAGGAGAGAGCAAGAAGGGGAAAGAGAGGGTAAGAGGAAAGCAGAAAGGGAGGAGCTCCATTGTCGGAGAGGAACCCGAAGGAGGAACCCGTTGCCTCTGCCCCAACCCTAGGTAGAGCACGGGAGGAGATATCTTCACACACATTTAAATTAACGTAAAAAGAAAATTAAACAAATAAATTATTAATCTATCTTAGTTGATGGACTCAAACAACCATTTAGCTTAGGGATGGCAATTTACTCCACAACCCGCAGAGCTTTGTGAATTTCCCCACCACAGGGATCGAGATTTTGAAAATATTCCTCCTCGTGGGGCGGGGATAGAGGCATTTTTTTTCCCGTGAAATTTTGTGGGAAATTTCCTCCACCCTGTGAGGAACCGTAGAGATCCATATAAAAAAAAACAAATAAATTTATTTATATATTTGTTTTTAAATATATTAACAATTAATTTTTACTTACTCAACTTAATTAATTGACCAATCTTTTTTTTTTTTTTTTAGTTTTTTCAAATCCAATTATATAGTCCAATCCAACCCATAATCTTCTTAAACTTAATTGCCCAAGCCCAACCTAATTTGCATTATCTTCTTAAATTTAATTGCCCAAGCCCAACCCAATTTGCTAGTAACCTTAGAACTAGAAGGACTATTTCAAATTTCTAAGATTTGCAAATATGCTCTGCGACTCTTCCTCTCCAGACTTCAGTCTCCTCTCTTCTGCGCTGTAGTTCACTGGCTTTGTTTTTGTTCTTCAATCGGTCAATTCCCTTCAACCTATCATTCTCGACAACCTTCGAAAGGTAATGCCCATAGCTCTGTTTCTATTCTTCAATTAACTACTTGTAGCTCGCCTGAGCCTGAGTTCTGAGTATTTGTGAGTGTCTAATTATCTGTGCTTGATGATTTATTTTGAGGTGAAGCAAATCTCATTCTTTTGGCCTTATTATTTTCGATTTCATTTTCCCTCTGATTGTTTGCAAGATTGTCAGAATGCAATTTTCATTGTTTACATGCCTACGCAAACTTCTTTCTCGCATTCATAGTGAACGATAATTATATTGTTATTTTGAGGTTCATTCAAGCTCTTAATTCATTCTATCTTCAGTTAATTTTTCAAACAAGAAACGAGTATCGAGTTTTATTTTGTGAGAACTCCGAATACCAGCGGGACTTATCATTTCACACGAGGACCTATGATTCTCCATGGGTATGGAGACGGAGACTAATTTTTATCCTTCGTAAAAAATCTGCGTAGTAATCCCCGTACCCTTTATTGACAGGGATAGAAATGGAAAAAGGGTCCCCGCCCTTGTGAGGAACCGTTACCATCCCTAATTTAGCTTTTCTAAATCAACCTTCTCTGTTCACAGAACATAATAATAAAATTTTGAGGGCACAAACCCAACGAGAGATGGACTAGCTGCAGCTACCGTTCGAGTTAGTGGCTGTCTTTCTTCTCCTATTTAGAAGGAAATAATAGTCTTAGTTGTGGGCATATTTTCCATAAAAAAAACAAGAAACGAAAAGAAGCTACAATGACATTCTCCAAAACGGCATCCCAAAACCACCCGAAAGGTCCAAGCGTCGCAGCTACCTTTCCCCCCGCTCCTGTCTCTTTCTCTCTCTTCTCTCTCTCTCTCTCCCTGCTTTTATTTTTCTCCCCCACATCATCTAGCCAAACATAAATCGTCCCTTAAAAAAAAAATAAAAACTGTTACCTTCCATTTATTTGATTTTCTTTTTGCATTTTATTTCTTCTCAATAATTAACATCGCTGTTAATTTTCGTGTTATTTTCAAATCTGTCTGAAAATCAAAATGATTTAAAAGGTAAAGTTGAAAAAAATTTCGCATCCAATTCAAACACCCCAACCTACCCGTCGTCTGTACGGATATCCGCGGCACGATCGCCGACTACCGGTTAAGATTCTCATCGGATAAAAATTTTCCGTCGAATCCTTGTGGATCCTCCTCTGCGTCGTTGATCGAATCTGTCTTTCTAGTTTGTTCCGGACGGCGTTGGGATTCGAAAGAAAGGGAGGAGAGAAACCATGAGTAATCAGAAGAAGAGGAATTTCCAGATCGAGGCGTTCAAGCATCGGGTAGTGGTGGATCCGAAATACGCCGACAAGACTTGGAAGATTCTGGAGCATGCAATCGATGAGATTTACAATCATAATGCTAGTGGTCTTAGTTTTGAAGAACTTTATAGGTTCGCTTTTCCCTCTTCTTTTTTTCATATGTTGAATCCATTTTTATTTGATTTTTATTATATTTTTTTGATGTTTCTATTCATTTTGTTTTGATTTTTTGAAGCTTTGTTGTTTGTATGTAGTTTAGGCGGTTATTTGATTGAAAGCTTTTGTGTTTATATCATTGAAGTTTATGATTATTTAGTTCCATGTTTGCTCTGTGGTTTACATGGCTAGAGATGCTCTCTTAGCTTTGATTCGATGTTCAAACTATTTAGAAACAATACATACTAAATTTCAGGTTTCCGTGAATTTACTGGCGTTTGAATCTTATATTTTTGGGCAAACTTGGTCCAAGAAATGCTTAAAAATGTATATGGAGTTCCAGTTTTCGGAGAGATCCTAATATCAATGGATGAAGTGGTTTACCTAATCTGCATGGATTGGGTAGTAGCTGAATTTTTAGGATGACTACTAGATATATTCAATCAATTTACATAAAAAAATTCCTTAGAGAAGAGTTCACTTATTATGAGTTTGTAGATGACATGTAGTCATATGTTTAACTAAGATATGTAGCATGTAAGCAGTTGCTGATTTCATTATCAGGAATTTCTCTATTCTTGGGTGTTAGATTTTGTAGATTGGAGTTGGGAAAAATCGGTCTATAAGTGTCTTCTGATAAGAGGGTCTGTTGGTATCTCTAGTTTTTAGTAATTGCAGTGTGTTTGTGATATGTTTATAATATGGTTAATCTGTATTTAAAACTTAAAGATTTGCCATCATCTCCTGCCTTTATTTTGGTAGGGTGGTTTGCAAAATTATCCACCATGGTGGCATCCTTGTTCTTGCTACTAGGCCAGAATGCAAAGGAAGCTTTTATAACAAACTTACAATGGATTAGTAATTTTCAGTAAAATGGGAGCTTCTCTGAATCCTTGCTAGACATTTATTCACCTTTCTTTGCAAGCAATACACAGATATTCTGCTAAATCCTGTTTTTAATAAATTATATTTCCCTTCAATTCTCTCGTTCTCTGTTTATGATTTGATTTCAATAGCCTGGGAAATATGATCTAAATGCAATCTACAATGCATGGAAGCTTATTAAGTTTAAGCCTTAACACTTGAGCCTGGTCTAGTCAATTTGCCTAGTGTCAGTTTGTGCTAATTCTCAAACTTCTACATTATCTTTTGAGGATTATGCTCAAAATACTATGTGATTATGAACTGTAAATATTATTCTCCTTTCCTAATTTCCCTCTTTCAAAAATGAAATGATGTGTGCTCAACAAAGTTGAGAACTCTTTGTGATATATTGTTTCTTTTTTCATAACAAATTCAGGAATGCATACAATATGGTTCTGCATAAATTTGGGGAGAGGCTGTACACTGGTCTTGTTACAACTATGACAGCACATCTCAAAGAAATATCAAATTCTATTGAGGCTGCACAGGGTGATATGTTTCTGGAGGAGCTGAACAGGAAATGGAATGATCACAACAAAGCATTGCAAATGATTCGGGACATACTGATGTACATGGACAGGACATATATTCCAAGTAACCAGAAAACCCCTGTTCATGAGCTGGGCCTTAACCTGTGGAGGGATAATATTATACATTTCATCAAGATACAGATGAGGCTTTTGAACACACTTCTTGAACTAGTTAAAAAAGAACGAACTGGTGAAGTTATAAACCGGGGACTAATGAGGAACATAATTAAGATGCTAATGGATTTGGGTTCTTCTGTTTACCAGGAAGACTTTGAGAAGCCATTTCTTGAGGTTTCAGCTGAGTTTTATAGAGGTGAATCTCAGAAGTTTATTGAATGTTGTGATTGTGGTGAGTACCTGAAGAAAGCTGAGAGACGTCTAAATGAAGAAATTGAAAGAGTTACCCACTACTTGGACGCAAAGAGTGAGGCCAAGATAACCAATGTGGTGGAGAAAGAAATGATTGCCAACCACATGTTGAGGCTTGTGCACATGGAGAACTCAGGGTTGGTAAACATGCTTCTTGATGACAAGTACGAAGACTTGGGAAGAATGTACAATCTCTTCCGTAGAGTTCCCAATGGTCTCTCAACAATAAGAGATGTGATGACTTCTCATTTAAGAGAGACAGGCAAGCAGTTAGTTACAGATCCTGAAAGGTTGAAAGATCCTGTTGAATTTGTACAGCGGCTTTTGGATGAAAAAGATAAAGATGACAGCATCATTAGCTTGGCATTCAACAATGACAAGACATTTCAGAATGCTTTAAATTCTTCTTTTGAATATTTCATTAATTTGAATGCTCGATCTCCTGAGTTCATTTCCTTGTTTGTGGATGATAAGCTTCGTAAAGGTCTGAAGGATGTTAGTGAGGAGGATGTGGAGATAATTCTTGACAAAGTTATGATGCTGTTCCGCTACTTGCAGGAGAAGGATGTATTTGAGAAGTACTATAAACAACACTTAGCCAAGCGGCTTTTATCAGGTAAAACTGTATCTGATGATGCAGAGAGAAGCCTGATAGTTAAGCTTAAGACGGAATGTGGGTACCAATTCACTTCAAAATTAGAAGGCATGTTTACAGACATGAGGACATCTCAGGATACTATGCAGGGATTTTATGCTAAATATCCGGAGCTAGTTGATGGCCCTACTCTAGTAGTTCAGGTTCTAACCACTGGTTCCTGGCCCACTCAACCAAGTGCTACTTGCAACCTGCCTGCTGAAATGTCAGCACTCTGTGAGAAGTTCCGCTCATATTACCTTGGAACCCATACTGGTCGGAGATTGTCCTGGCAAACTAACATGGGAACAGCAGACATAAAAGCAACTTTTGGGAAGGGTCAGAAGCATGAGTTGAATGTCTCCACTTACCAAATGTGTGTTCTGATGCTTTTTAACAATGCTGATCGGCTTAGCTACAAGGAGATAGAGCAAGCCACTGAAATTCCTGCTTCAGATTTGAAAAGGTGCTTGCAGTCAATGGCCTGTGTCAAAGGAAAAAATGTTCTACGCAAAGAGCCTATGAGTAAAGACATTGGTGAGGATGATGCATTTTTTGTCAATGACAAGTTCACAAGCAAATTCTATAAAGTAAAGATAGGAACTGTGGTTGCGCAAAAGGAATCAGAACCTGAAAAACAGGAGACCCGACAAAGAGTAGAGGAGGATAGAAAGCCACAGATTGAAGCAGCGATTGTTAGGATCATGAAATCAAGGAGAGTGCTAGATCACAACAATATAATAACAGAGGTAACAAAGCAGTTGCAGTCACGGTTTTTGGCCAACCCCACTGAGATTAAGAAACGTATTGAGTCTCTTATCGAGCGGGATTTCTTGGAAAGAGATGCAAATGACAGGAAATTGTATCGATATCTAGCATAAAGAAATGACCTCAGCAGATTGGTTGTTTTTTTATGGAAGGTTAGTATTGACATTTGGAAATTTGTTTTACAATTCATGCAAGCTCCATTGTTTTCAATAGATATCATTTCTATATGCTTTCCTATTCTGTTCTCAACTTTATTTGGTCTAATTTTTATTCTCAGTTTCTGGCTCTGCCCCACCCATATTTATTTTCATGTAACATCCAAGCTAGTACCCCAACTCTGATATAAATTCATGAAAGAAGTTTATGCCTGTGAACCTAGGTGGTGTTAATTGTGTTAAGTCTTTGACAATTAGACTTTCAAACTTGGGCCGGTGCTAGTTTCTTATGAGGTATTACCATATAATACTAGAATATCAAGTGGAAATGCCAAAATGCTATTTGCCAATCTCTGAATTTCGCATAATTTGTGCACTGCCCTGATTTGTTCTCTAAGTAAGGGTACTTGATCTTTTAACAAAAAGCATAGACTCCAAGTCAGGATCCTATTTTATCCGATTATGTTAATGTAGCTCATACAGTGGTTAAAAGTGCTAGTGTTTTATGGATCTGTAGGTGGCAGACAGCCTTATCCGAGTGAAAAACGTAGTCTGGAGTGGCTGAGTAAAGAGCATGTGATGCATGTGATACGTGTTTGTGTGTGTGCTCTCATGCAGTAGGTTGATAGAGATTTATTTTTATTGTGCATGGAAGTTTATGGTGCGGCGAGGTTATCCCATCTCAAGGCCTGGGTATGACACCTGTCTGGTGAGGATTTGCAGTCATATTTACATATTACCAATACAGGAGAAACTGTTAGCTAGAGTTGAACCTAGGTAATGGGCATGCCAAGTTTCTGATCTTTACTAGCTAAGCCAATCCGCATGGACTAGGTTGAAAGAGATTTGATATCATACAGCAACAAAAAGTCATGTCATGTGACAAACTAATAATCTGAAATCTGAAATGTGCATCCTTTTCCCTTTTTGTCCCCTTATCTTCTTTTAGTTCTACAGTGACAAAAAAAAAAAAAAAAATTCATATTTGCTAGCTTTGTTGGGTTTGGCTCTTGATGTCTGTCTGTCTGTTTGAGTTGTGATCAGTGCAGTGACCTGAGAATTGCCTGGGTATATTGCAGATACCCTTGTATGGGTTTGTTGAATGAAATTGAGCTTACCATGTTGTTGAAAAAGAAAAAAAAAAACAAAATTGTTGTGTACTCATTTAGATGTTCACAACTCCTTAATGATCTCTTATGTGAAGCTTTGAAAAGAGAAAATAAAGTGAAATTGTTTTTGTTTAATACATAATTATAATCAAGTTTTTCACTCAGTATGTTATCGATGCTTGAATTAGTTTTTCACTTAATGAGACATGTAAATTAGTAAGCATCCACTGCTATTTTTAAAATTTATTTGTGTAAAAAAAATTATGTAAGGTTTTGATTGTGAATGTTGTGTAACACAATGTTGTAATGGTAAGCTTTTTTTTTTTTATTTTATTATCTTAAAAATATATAAAATATTAATTAAAATTAGTAAAAGTAAATAAAAATTGAGTAAAATTAATTTAAAAGGTATATGAGAAATATTGTGAAATGAAATTTTATCAACTTTGTTCAACTTTGTTTTATTAGTAGTTCAAAATGTGTATGGGCAGATGGTTAATCCTCAATATAACTCGGTTGATGGTTTTATTTTTTTAATTTTTTAATTTTTATTTTTATTTCTTGGTTGGCCTTCAGTTATTGTTGTTTAAATTTTTTATTTTTTATCTTGAATTGTATAATAAAAAATAATTATATTTTAATCTTTTAACTTATTTTACCTATATGTTATAATTTAAACTTAAGAATTTTTATTTTTATTAAAAAAATTATTTCTGATTTA